GCAGACATGGAGGTCATTTCTCTCCACCCCTGCTGAGATTTTTGACATTCGCGCTTAAGGGGCACAAAGAGTTATGGTCATTCTGTGTATCTTCCCATTAAGCAGTGCTGCTAAACCATTCTGTAGCACACCAGCAGGGGAAAAAGCCTCTGAGCTCTTCAGGTGTAATAAACTGCCATAGATCCTCAGCCATATCTTTTTATGAGGGAGAATAAAACTGGTTTAAATGCAAGAGGAGAGGGAATGATGCTTCTAAACTTTGGAACGGCTGTGATTTTTGTCTTCCTAAGCCTGCCTTCCTGTAGCCTATCCACCACCCGATCTGTTTAGTCTCTGCCTCGTACCTCCCATTTTTGGTGGGAGTTGCCTATTTTGACCCAATGGTTTGCTCCTACTACCATCTTCTAAGTTATCCCACATTTTGTTTAAATTGGGGTTTTTTGGGGTTTTTTATCCGTTGCAGCCAGTTCTCAGCAGCTCACAGATGTGCCCAGGGAAGCTTCCAGAGACACATCACACACCCAAAATGATTCTTTGAGATGTCATAGCATTGCAGAAGTAGGGTGATGTGTGTGCAGTAGTTTTGTTGCTTGACCTTTCCTACCTTTTTCATGAATCAACATCAATTTTCATTTCAGAAAGGAGGGAGTAGAAGTAGTTGCTCTACGTTTCACATGATTGTAACAAATGTGCAGGTTATTTCACATAATTCACTCCATAGGGATCAGAATCTAAAGTGCTAAAAATGCTTTGAGTAGCAATTACTCACTCCTGATGGAGATCCTGGTGGTATGTGTAGTCTGCTATGAGTATTAAATGTAGTGAGTGTCTGTGTTAGTGCTTATATGAAGTAGGGATATAATATGATTGACCTTAAAGACTGAAGAAAATTGGATGCAAAATGATTTTCAATAAACTGGGTACACTGTTAAATCATTAGGACTCCTTTTTAAAAGTATCTAAACCTTTTTTGAACTCTGTTCCTAATGCAATTCACAGAGCATTTCTGGACACAGGAGAAGCATGTGCAGCATAAAGCACCCCCTGAAAAGCACATGTCCTTCACATGTGCCCAGGCTTCTGTTGCCACACACAGCACACACCAGAAAGGGAATTCGATGCTTACCTTTATTTTGGTGCTTCCTATAAAATCCATCACTGGCATGGTCCTTTTCCCAGTGTTTTCCCAAAATACTTTTGTTTCTTCTTCAGTGGTCAGAATGAAAGGTGCTTTCTGGTATAGGAAGTGAAATAGTCATAGATTGTGTTTATTCATGTCCATTTTCCATAGAGGATCTTTGAGAATGGTGGGTAAACTGGAGAGGAGTGAAGAGAATGGGGAGAGATTTCTGAGCAGCTGGGGCTGCTGGCACGAAGAAATGGATCCTAAGAAACCCCCCAACTACCTTCATTTAGCAAAGAGATCAATCCTGAGCTGTCCCAGCTATTAAGTATATGTGTGTACCTGGAAAGATTGGCAGTTTTTGAGTTAAAGACCTTTCCATGATTTTTCCAGTATCTTTGTTTCTGAGGCCCAGAGTCAGTAAGTACTGCTGGTGAGGCAAGGATTCAGCCCTCTCTGGCAACAGATGAATTCCAGGAGGATCTGGCATGGGGAAAGGAAAATAATTTCCATTGTCATTTTTTTTCAGTTGTAAGAAAAGTATAAGAAGTGAAATGTACTCCAGAAAGCTTGCCAAAACAAAGGTGGCCAAATCAACCCATTCAGCTCCAACTAGGTTTTGAACTTCCTGTCTTCTGTGGTGTCCAGTCAGGTTTTGAATATCTCTAAGGCAGTAGACTCTACAATCTCTGGGCATCATCTTCAGTGGTTTGACCACCCTCAACGCTTTTACCTAGATTTCCATTTATGCCCACTGCTTCTCATCATGCCATTGAATGCTGCTGAGAAGATGCTACTTCCATCTGCCTGCCTTCCTTTCATCAGGTGTTTATACATTTTGATGAAATGTATGTATTAGTCAATATTTTGTATTTTAGTTTCAGAAAATGCCTTATCGTTATGTTTTGGGTAGTGGAGAGAGGCAGTGTTTGACTTTGAAGTTGTCAGGTGCAAACTGTTCACAGAATTGCAAGAATTAAATATCCCCATCATCTAAGGTTTGAAGTGTGCTTCCTTTTGCATAACTGAGGACTGGGATAAGTTCAGCAATTGAGTGGATTAGCTGAATTCAGACATCCCCAAGGGTGGTTATACCTTACTTTTCATCCAGAGTAACAATAGTTCTGATGTGTTTTGCCATGGAAGGCAGAACTTAAAATCTGCTAATGGTTAAACTGAAAACTTTTATTTACCACCATAAATCAGCTAACCAATACTGGATAACAGACAGTAAGATCTAGATATTGAACCCGGGATACCCAGTGCAAGCTGTGAGCATAGAAGCAATTTGTCTGCTTGAGACTGACAAAACTGATGGATGTTCCTAAAAGCCATACTTATGTGATGTATAGACTGAATAGAGACATCTCAAGCTATTGGGGTTACTGATTTTTTTGTATTTTTAAAAATAGTGATACAAAAATATTGCAACAAATTACAGTAGAAAGATATGCATGCCAAAATGTCAAATGAAGATATAAAGAACATTTACAAGAGCACTTAAATGCCCTTCAGGTAAACTCACAGTGAGACTTGAGCACTTAAAATGCAGATGGTATTAAGACCTATTGTACTGATGAATAATTCCCTGATTCTTTACTTCTGTGACATATTGATGCACGTAAAAATTTGCCACAGATGAAGAGGTTCGCATCAAGCAGCAGAATAATCAGTTGTGTCTGCTTGTTAGAAATGTGTAAGACAATAAGCTGTTTGGACCTGTGAAAAGTTCTGTACAGAAAGTTGAGGAGTTCCAGCAGAAGTTGTTAGGCAGCTTTGCCTGGAAGTCTAGAACACAGCTGCACAGATCTGTTCTTACTCACCTCACTGGCCTCTAAGAACCTAGCTGGACTGCAAAATGTAGTGTCCATGCTTCAAAACACCCTGGCCAAGTGGTCTTTTATGAAAAATATAGTGGAATTTGTTTCTCTTTTTTGTTTTGTACTTGTCCCTTGGTCCGGTCAATCTGTACACTCTTTGTAAATGTGAAAGAAGAGTTCACACCCTGGGTTCTAAGGCAGAGTCAGTTTATTTTGGCTTGAGCTGCCACTGGAGAGGGATCCTGAACAAAGCAACCCCTGGGCCTTTATACCCTTACAGTCTGTGCACTCAATCTTCACACATTCTTCACATGCCTTGCATGTACCTCTTGATTCAATGTCGATTTATGGTTTGGAGTCTTCTAACACCTCATGGATTTTTTTCTCCATGTCCATGTGCCATTAACTGTTCTTATCTTCCAGCCTGGGGCAGCCTTGGGGTCTCAACTCTTCTCTGAAGATAATCAGTCTTTCCCAGTTTCCTCCCCTGCTTAGCCATTCATGCTAACAGAGTTCATTTAAAGTTCACCTACACTAAGTGACCCACTCATGCTAAGCTGTAAGCAAGTTACAATTAAACTTAAACCTATACAATTAATTTCTAATATTCTACAAGTAAACTTATATTAATCCCCAACAATAAACTCCTAGTTTGCATCTAGCACCTGGCTTACAGTGCAAGTTCTGCCTATCTCAAGGCCACAAAAGTTTCCTCACCACCGATGTTTGTTGGCTTATTCCCTTTTAATAAGGCTCTTGGTGCTTCTGTTCGAGTCAGCCTGATATATGCCAGTAATATTACTGTATACTCTGCTGTGATACCCCTGCCTTGTAACCAGGCAAATACCCATCCACAAAGTAAGTATCAGAAGGGGAAATCTTTTGCTCTTTCTAGCATCTTTCTCCAAGTCTTAGCGGATGACCCAATCCACCCAGCTGGGAAGTCACTGTGGTCTGATGGTCAGTTATGAGCTGGTAAGTCACAGGGGGACGAGGGGAGCATATGTGCAAAGTATGAGGTTAGCTGATACATGAAATTTAGATAGGATAAATTGACTGATTTCCAGATAGTTGACTTGATACGAGAAGCTCAGGCCAATCCTGCCTCTATTTGTCTTACCTAAGGACTAGAGACCTTTCTGGCAGGTCAAATATCACTGTTTTGAAGCATTTCAGTATGATATTTTTAAGAGGCCATACCACACTACAGACTGCATAACGGGGTAAAATAAACAAAAGTAAGCCCTGCTTGTATATAATAGGTAGTAATTTATAATTATGCAGTGAAATTATTAAATGAAATACAAATTGAATAAGCCTCACGCATATCCAGGCTAGTCGTAAAAACGTGGTTTACAATATGTAGTACGCTCGCTCCTCAATCCTATGCTTCATGATAATTGCTGTATGGCTGCCTCTGATAGCATCAAACACTTCAAAATATACATATACTTTGCATATGGCAAAAACTGACCGTCAAACTGGACAATGAAAGAGCAACAGCATGACTTACATCTTACAAGTGTCAACAGAATTTATAAATGGATTATTTCCACTAGCTCACTTTTACATTCAAATAGGAGTCTAATCATCCTTGGTGAACACACTTGATTGCAACTTCCGTTGTTGCACTGAGCTTAGCAATTTTGTTTGAAATGCAATGAAATGTATATGGAATACTGCAATAAGTTACCACCTTGCTATCAGTAGCTCTTGGAAAGTATAAAAAAAATCTAAGATGGCAATACCTAATGCATTATAATATGTACGTAGACACTATATCTACATGACTAGGAAAAAAGAAAACCCTGCTTATGAAACAACAGATTTCATTACTTCAATCTGTTCCTACTCTGAGCAGTATATACACTTCTACAGCCTGTGAAGGCAGAGGTTACTGTGTGATATACACATACATAACTGTAGTAAAACAGTATTGCTGTATTATATACAGTTAGAGCTATACACAGTTCTACACAGCACATCACATTTTGGGCTCCAGCAGATTGAATTTTGGGTTTTTTTCAACACATTGATGAATGAAGATTTGTCCTCTCTTAAGCAGCTTCTTCAGCGGAGCAATCAATGCCTGCATAAGTAAACTTCTCATATAGAGTAGTATTCACATAGGTCTGTGAAAAAAATAAGCAGAAAGAATGTGATGCAAGGTGCATTACCTCAAGAATCCTAAACAATAGTGAATTTATTCATGGCCTAATTATTTTCTAACGACTCATTCTTACCTTCCTTTCTTCTAACATCCTGTTCAGTGACACCAGTATCTGAGCAAATGATGGTCTTTCATATGGTTTCTCTCTCCAGCACTGTCTCATTAGATCATACCTTTAAAAATCAAACACCAGCATTTGATAGTTTAGATACATAGGTTAAAGCTACGCATTCATGTTATCAGAAGATTGCACACATTTCATTTTTCAGACGAAAATATATTTATACATAGATGGGGTTACATTTCCCATGGCTGGTTGCTGTCTGAAAAGAGTTCTATTTTTCTCTGGAATAATTGAAAAGCTCTCTTTGTGCTAAAGCCTAGCCATGTTGTGTAAAGAACATGATATTTGGCAGGAGCAGAGACCCTGGGAA